CTGCTTGTGTTCCCTCTCTCGCTGTCTCTCTCTCTGTCAAATAAATATATAAAATCTTTAAAAATAAATAAAAATGAACTTGTAAGACATATAAATTATGAAGTTGGCTATTTTGAAGTCTACAAATGATTTTAATGTGGAAAACTTTGGTTTTCCTTAAGGAAGTGGGTATGTCAGTGGTTCTCAAGGGATCTGGGGAGGGTGTTTGCCCCCTGGGCACATTGGCAACGTCTGGAGACATTTTGTTTGTCACAACTGGGGACGGTGCTCCTGGCATCTAGTGGCTGGAGGCCAGCAATGCAGCTAAACATCTTGCAGAGCACAGGACGGCTCCACCACAGAGAATGATCTGGCGCAGGATGGTTGAGTGAGAGCCCCTGAGCTACATGATAGAGGTTTTCCCAACACTTTAGTATTAAATTTATTTGGGATTGTGACGAAGCCCTTAACCTATGCTTACAGATTTTGTCTAGAGGTTCTTTGGAAGTGTTCCATTTTAGAAAAAAAAGAGTAATTTTAAAAAATGTATTTTACGAAGTCAGGGGAAAGTGATGCTGTTTCGTTACTAGGAACGGTGTCCCCTGAAAGGGGGAGCTACTGTTTGTAAATTTCATGCAGTGTCACTTTGGTTAATTAAAAAGTTTCCTCTTTTACTAAAAAAAAAATGCCACTTTTTTGGTTTGCTTTTTGTTTTACACTTAATATTACTGTGTATAATACTACTTAATTCCTTTCTTTCCTGAATAAAAGGAATAAAGTGAGGCCCCTATAGGGTTTGAGACTGTAGGGATTTCCTGTAGCTCTGGGCTGTACTTCAGACGATGATGATAGGGAGGTCATCACGGGAATGCCTCCTGAGTCTCCTTAGCTCTGCCCTCGCAGTTATTTCTGAAACCTAGCTCTTGCTTATACTTAATTTATCCACAAATATTTGTTGAGCACCTGTGTGCCAGGCACAGAGTGGGCTCTTCACTGATGTTATTTATTTATAATCCGCCAAACAAGGTTGTGGAAGGTGGTCCCATTCCTGACTTACAGTGCAGAAATAGGTAAGGGGTGGTTAAAGAATCCACACCTAGTTACAGAGTGAGTCAGAAATAAAATTCACTTACTTACTACATTCTGTCCGATCCCAGAGTTCCTGCCTTTTCTACCAGACTACACTGTCTAAAACTTTTAACAGCATCTTGCTGTCTAAAGAATCAAGAGAGCTCATTGGTGGAGGGGGATGCTCCCCGTCAGTTGTAAGTCAGGCCCCTCTCCAGCTGCACCTCATTATACTCCTACTAGAGCCGTACATTCAGCAGTCTTGCTGGGCCCAGAATGTGCCACAGACCTGATACACGTTTTTATTCTGTTTAAAATACTCCCTCACACCCAGGAGGCCTCAGTTATCCCTTCAGAGATGTCCTTGGGAGATCTCCGCTTGTACTTTGATGGACCCTAGAGCTGATCTCGGATTTCCAGCCCTTCTTCCAGACATGGTAGCATGGCACTTCTCCCCCCTGGTGGGTTTGGGTGGGGCCGTGTGACTAGTTCTGGCTGAATGAGTGAGGAGCCATGTGTGGCTTGGGGTGGAAGGTGTCGCTCCCGTGACCCCTTTCCCTCTGGCACAGGGCAGGGCCACATTTGAGATGGTGGCTCCTAGGTCATGTCGGTCTCTGCTGGCTGATGAAGTTCCCAACACTGGGTGAGTCCCCTTCTGTAGTTTTTTTTACCACACTGTGTAGCCCTTTAATTATAGCCACGCCATTTTGGAATATTGTAGATGGCTGTTGCTGTTTGTGTCCTCAGCGAGCCTGTGATTTGATTCCCCAAAGCCCCGCACCTTGCAGCGTGCTCATGTGTGGTAGATATTCAGGAAGGATCTCTTGGGACAAAATCAAAGTCAGTGGGATGTGAAGCTGAAAGGACCTTTGACATTAAGCTGGCTTGAATGACCAGGGACGGTCTGATTTAAATAAGAATGTATTGGACTGAGGACTGTCCCAAAGAGAGTCTGTGAGAATGTGTGCCTTTTTACATTTTGATTTTGGGACTTTTACTTATTCTAAATGTTTCTTTGAGGTGAAAAAGAATCAGCTGGAGATTTTATACTTAAAGAGTTAGGACACTTTTCTCTGCAGATCGTCTTGAGCCGAGGGCCCCGGTGACTCAGGTTACATTCTGCTCGTTCCCTGAGGCAAGGGCTGGAGTGGTTCATCCAAGCCGATCAATGGTACCTCTCGCCACCTAGTGGCAGCATTCCTTAATTGCAGATTCTTTGGATGGCCTGAGATGAAAAGCTGATTCTGCAAACAAGACGTAACACCGTCTAGGATTCGCTGTGAAATGCTGGCGGTCTCTTAAGACATCGAGCTGTTATTATTTATTATGTCATTCTTGGCCCAGTGTGACCAACCTGGGTTTCTGGGAATGAGAAGGGGCACACCTTAAGTTCTCTTTCGAAAACAGTGGATGTCTCTTTATAGGAGAAGAAAGAAGTCAGAGGGAAACTGCTTGGTGCTGGGTTGATGTCAAGGCCACAGAGGTGGCTCCAGAACCACCTCTCTGGGGGTAGGTGACTTGTGTGGCCTGGATGGGGACCAGCCTCTCCTCAACCCATAGAGTTGGGATGTACTAGGGAGGCCTAAGTAATATATTTGAAGTTAACCCTGAGATTGACTGTTGGCGTTCTTTTCCTCTTGATTTTTAAATTGATGGCAATTTCTAATGATTAAAATCTATCACAGGGCGCCTGTGGGGCTCAGTTGGTTAAGCGTCTGATTCTTCTTGATTTTGGCTCAGGTTGTGATCTCAGGGTTGTGAGATCGAGCCCTGTGTCCGCCCAGCGGGGAGTCTGCTTGGGATTCTCCCTCTCCCTCTGCCCCTCCCTCCACTCATGCTCTCAAGTAAATAAATAAATCTTTAAAAAAAATAAAATCTCCCACAACCACAAAACCAGCCATGTCCTAAAATCATAGGCATGTCCCCAGATGGAACTTACATGTACGGAAGGTCTGACTGCCAGTCTTGGCTATTCCATGATTTCAATTAAAAATTGAATTGGCTTTTTAATGACCTAGAATGTGGTGAATGTAGAACATGGGTGACATGTTCCTTTATTTGTGATTTTTTGGGGGGAAGATTACAGAAATATCATTCACTTGTTTCTATAAATATTTGATAAGGCCAATTGAATGTGATGAAATATTAAAAATATCATTTATTAAATATTTAAAAGTTCAGTCCTTGGACCTGGCCGAATCTCTTCATTCTACTGCCAGCTGAAAGGAGCAATTTATAAATTCTGAATTACAAAATTAGGAACTGGGAATATAGCTATACAATTATTTTTGCTTTGAACCATTAGCCATTTTCAGCTATGGGCCTTTCTTTCTTCTTCCTTTCTTTTCTTTTTTTTTTCTTTAAGATTTTATCTTTAAGTAATCTCCACACCCAGCATGGGGCTCGAACTCCCAACCCTGAGATCAAGAGTCACATGCTCCACCGACTGAGCCAGCCGGGCGCCCCACTACGGGTCTTCCCATGAGAGTAGCAGAGGGGCACACACTGTGCTCCTACCCACCACAGGCTTCCTGCGGTGTGCTCTGCCTGGCATTTCCACATTCCTAGGGGGCTGAACAGTCATTTGGCTTACGTGTCAGGACGTTTATGGACTTGCACACTGGAATAATCTTCAGCTTTATTTGCCACGCTTATAACTTTATTAATGAAACCTTTAATATGAAAACAAATTGGAACCAAATATTGCTATTAATGGTGCATTGTTAATAGTAAGTCGAACTCACATTTTCTGTGTTTTAAAATGAGATTAGTGGGGCGCCTAGGTGGCTCAGTTGTTAAGCGTCTGCCTTCGGCTCAGGTCATGATCCCAGGGTCCTGGGATCGAGTCCCGCATCGGGCTCCCTGCTCAGCGGGGAGTCTGCTTCTCCCTCTCCCACTCCCCTCCACTTGTGTTCCCTCTCTCGCTGTGTCTCTCTCTGCAAATAAATAAAATATTTTTTAAAAAATTTTAAAAAATGAGATTAGTGACAAAAAACAGAGGGCTTTGCACTACTTCCTTTCAGGTGGCCTGTTTCTCAGTATTGTCTCTGTAACTGCAGGCAGTGTTCCAGCCTCCGTCCTAGATGGTTTAACGAGCTGTCTGGGGAGGATGGGAGTCTCGGCAACTGGGTAAAACACTCAGCCTGACTGCAAAGTGAGCTTATTTCCTGTGTTCGGTGGGACCTTCTCAGACCAGTGGCCGCAGCAGACTGTGGGGCCCCTGCAAGTTACTCCCCCAGATAACGCGCCTCTGTCCTGGGGAGTATTTCTGGAGAAGGGCAGGTGGGGCACAACCATCTGAATTTTCTTCACCAAATCTCTTGTCCGGCTGTAGCTTTTGTGTGTGTGTGTGTGGGGGGGTGGTATTGGGGGGGAGATTTCCCAAAGGCCCTTTGAATTTTTGGTCTTTATAATCGGGGTTTGGTTTCCCATCATATCTCCCTATAATCTAACCGCAGCTTACCTTTCCAAGCAGATCCCACGGTATTTTGATGTATTCTGTGCCTCCAGATTCTCTAGTCTCCTTTACTTGTAAGGAACATCCACCTGCCAGAAACAAACAAACAAACAACAAAAAGCACCTTCCCAGTGTCTAAAAGACCAAATCATACCTGTTTTTCAGTTCTCAGCACCAAAATTATCTTCTCTGTGGGAGAATTTACAAACCAGAGCACTGACTTTAATTGTACTATAATGAGATTCCTTATGCACTCGTCCATCTAGCCAGTAGTTCCTGAGGAATGGCACAGTGCTAGGTGCTGGGAATTACCAGAGAACAAGAGGTCTCCCTCTCCTGGAATCTGTGTTTTTGTTCACGTTTGAATGGAGGAGAAGTCACAGCGACACCTAATGGCATTTACTGAGCGCCAGACTCTGTCCTAAGCTTTTTACTGAACAACCCATCAGCTGGGTACTATTGCCATCCTCAGTTATGGGTGGGGAAACTGAGGCCCATGGAGGAAGCCATGTAGCCTGCCCCGAGGCCCCCGGCTCACACCGCTGCCCTCTCCCTGACGGTTTGGCGACGAGCAGCCGAAGAAAAGGAAAAGCGGACGTAGGGACCAGAGTAGAAGGTGCTGTAGCTGGAGGAGGGAACGTTTGAACGGAGACCTGAGTGAGGTGATGAGTCCCCTGAGACCCTGTTGGGTTGGAAGAGGTCAGAGCTGTTTTAATTACGTTAAGACGTCGCTTGCCTTTTTCCTCCTTGTCTCTCACGTGCCTGCTGGAGCTCTCTAGGGGCCGCGTGACATGTGACAGAGCGGCCCACAGGCTGCGGGAGAAGCAGGACTCCGCTGACTGTAGAAAGACTTGCAAACATGTAACACGTCGCCACTCTTCTTCGTAAACTCTGTTTTAAAAAGTATAGTTACTTCCACGAAAATGTTATGTTAACATGTAATAGGCTTATTGTTTTTAAAAATGAATTGATAAATAATATTTCTTGATTTTGATTCCCAGTGCAATAAATGCTGATTAGGTCACCAGTTAATAGATAGATCCCACGTGAACAAAAGCCACGTAGGGTCCTCAGGAACATGTGTCCGTGGGCTCTGAGAGCAGAGGTGGAGAAGCGTCCGTCCGGCTGCGGTGCAGGGGGGCAAGGACGAGGTTGGTTACCTGGATTTTGTAAATAGTCCAGGTGAGCAGCACGGACGATGAGAAATGGCTCCGTCTGGATTGATTTTTGTGTGTGGGTTTTTTTTTTTTTTTTTAAATTGTGGTAACGCACACGTGAAGCCTCCCGTCGGAAGTGCACAGTGTGTTAAGTACCTGCGTTCACGGTGCTGTGTGGTTGATCCCGGAACTGTGTTCCTGTCACAAAACTGAAACTCTGTACCCACGAACCAACAACTCCCATGGGTCTGGATTTACTTTGAAAGTGAAGACGACAGGCTTTGCTCTTGGTTTAGAGGAGGCACGTGTAAATGTCTGGTAAACGCGCCATCAGTCAGCGAGACGGTAGCTTCTTTCCCGCCTCCGTGCTGGTGTAGAATGGCCCACGGGAGCCGCAGAGCGCATGCCCGTGAAGCCCAGTCTCCTGGCGGCTCGTGCTGGTCATCACGTGACAGCAAACACATCGTGGTGGTTGCTAGTATCCCATCGTGGCTGAATACTGAATCTTAGTTTTAGCTCCTTCTGAAGATGGACGTGCGGGAAAGAATCGGGTCGTTCATTCAACAAATAGGCACCATCTACTTGGAAATAGAGCTTCTTCATACCATTCCTTCTACTTAGATCGGCTCAGCTGGGGCCGGCACTCGGCGGTGAATACACACACCGAGCTTGTAATGTGAGCGCTCGTAAGGTGAAGGTAAAAAGAAATGAGAAGGTTTGGGCCGCCCAGACCGTGCTGGGGGAGATGGGGACTCAGAGAGGGCCCTGGCTCTGAGTGGGAGGAGGTCTCACACGGGCCAAGCCCCAGGCAAAACAAATGGAGAGGAATGAAACTTGATTTCACCGCGAGAGCGGACCGCCAGGATAGCAGTTCTTACCTTAGGAACAAAAGCATCCGTGCCAGTGCCGAACCAAGAAGGACACAGGTCGCTTCTCCAGTGATCCGCCCCAGCCTTGGGGGTTGTGCGCATGTCCCTGGTGTGCAGGTGACACTGAGATTAAGAGGCCGGTTATGTGCTAAAGGTCACGTAGCCAGTAATAGGAGGGAGCTGGAATCTGACCTTAACACGGCCTCACCCTCAAAGTGGGTTATTTGTAAACACAGTTTTCAGAAATTTGCGTTTAGTTTTATTTATACTCTGTAATTTTTTTTTTTTTTAAGATTTTATTTATTTATTTGACCCAGAGAGAGCAAGAGAGGGAACACAAGCAGGGGGAGTGGGAGAGGGAGAAGCAGGCTTCCCGCCGAGCAGGGAGCCCGATGCGGGGCTCGATCCCAGGACCCCGGGACCATGACCTGAGCCGAAGGCAGACACTTCCAACTGAGCCACCCAGGTGCCCCTGTACTCTGTAATTTTATATTCATAAGTTTTCTTTTATATTTTTATTTGTAATGCTAGTTTTAAATAGGTAATACTGTATTATTATTGCCATAAAGAAGTGATAGTATATTTTTCTTTGTAACTTTTCTGTGATAGCTTAAAAACAGATAATTTGTCTATAGCCATCAGTCATTTAATTTCTAGAGCAGTTTATTTCTTAATTCTGGTTGCTTCATAGACTCAGTTTCTATATTACTTACCCTGGAATTCAGAATTTCATCCCATTAGGGTCTTGATGCCAAAGTTTTCAACAAAAAATACAAGTGTTGGGCACCTGGGTGGCTCAGATGGTTAAGCGTCTGCCTTCGGCTCAGGTCATGATCCCAGGGTCCTGGGAT